CACCTAGAAGAATGTTTGACAGCAAAACAATTGAACCGGTCTGAGGGCCACAGATTAAAATCACCCACCTTGGGCGTGGTAGCATAACTTTCTGTACACTAGATCAATGTAGCTCTCTCTATGTTGTCATTGTTATTGTTCTTAGGTGCACTCTTTCATTAGCCACGGTGATTGATGCACAGGGACTTTTTTCAAACTCTTTGCTATAGTAAACTGTGTTGCAGTAAACATGAATTTGAGTATGTTCATTTGGTGACGTTTTCTTTCTGTCTTGTGACTTAGTTGCTGTAACATGGAGCCTGAGAGAAGTGGGGGGAAGTTGCTTGTAGAGTCAGACTTGGAAATAACACTCTTTTATATCTTTGCCAGGTCTCTTGAGGTGACATAAAGACTGTTTCACCCGAGGAAGAACCTCCTGTCGCAACCCTTGAGCGGCATCAAGGAATTTGTGCTTCACTCTCCATCTTCTGCAGAAACTTCGTCAGCATCAGGCTCCCCCACATTCAGTGATCCTGCAGAAGACAGCCTCTTCCATGGGTTTCCTTGCCCCCTGGTCTTGGTGTGGAAGTCCTCATAATTATTGAAGGTTGTGCATTTGCCCCACCCCAGTTACCTCAGTTTTGCCTGTTCCTCACTCTGTTCGGTGCATCTGAATTCACCTTTGCTCACATTACTTTTATAAAAATTTTCTTGAATAAACTTTGTTTGGAAATTATCTCTTTCCTATGGCTTCAAAAATAGAAACAGAAATAAAATAGAAAAGGTGTGTTACTTTGTAATAATTGATTTTAATTATATTGCAAGATATTCTTTAAAAGCAAGAATGATGAAACTTCTTCTCCCAGACTTGTGATGTGATATGTTATGAGGCAGGACCCGTCCTTGCAGAAAGGTGAAAGGTGTCATGGGAGGGGAAGAATAGGGTCAGGGGAAACAGGAAGACTTTCAACAAGATAAATTGACTGACACAGTGGCTGTAAACAGCAAGCTGAAGCCCAGCAGAGACTGTGAAAATGGAGCAGGAATGCACAGGGAGTCATTTGGTTGCTGGCTTGAGG